TTTCAATGTTGCTTTGTTCTTTGTATCCACGTGTAACGAGCGTGATCTGATCATTAAGCCAATCATTGTTAGAGACTGTACACTTCAATCTAAGAATACGTGGATCTGCAGTGAGGTTATTATTATTTTTTTTAATTGAATGAATTTGGTCGCGTGTTGTTTAACACAGTTGGGACTCGAGCCCCTGTATCGACATTTTTTTTTTGTACGACTCCTAACCACGGCGTACCCGCTACGAAGAACATACGCAAGACTAAAGCAAATCGTTGTCACAACTTTAAGAAAACCATCCAACAAGAGGGTTGGCAACAGAAACATTTTTAAATATGGCGGACAGTGCCGGAGAGCACTTAATGCAAAGCTGGTTACTCGGAGCGCGCTTAGCTACAGAGATACAAAAAAGGGTATACCTTTTTGGGTTCAGTTTTGGTCCTCTTGATTGCAAAAGTGTTAAGAAAGCACAGGAAATGCATACTTACTTATGGTTGTTTTTAAGAAGGTGATTTTCCATTTTGATAAGTGTCATGTTAAAAGCATAAATAGTGGCAGAAATCAACTGAGTCGGGTATCGAGAGGCTCCCCTTTATGCCAAAAAATACGCAGGGAGAAATTCAGTGTCGTCAGGCTTTTCTTTTCACAAGAAACGTTCCAAATAGAAGTCATACAAAATCATCTTACTGCCCTCAAGAAGTATATAAATTTATTTCTATTAACTTGATACATAAAAACTCTCGAATTCCCAGTGATTAGTCACTCCGAGCTAAACAAAGCATGCCGCTATGAACGGACCAGACAAAGGAACACTGGTGTCATAAATAATTGTTAAAACACGTGAAAGGTTTAAGGGTTGCTGAGGTAAAGTTCAAATACTAAACTCTGTAAAACTGTTAGAACTGGCAGACTAGAATCACTTTCAGGTTCCACAGCTCCTATAATGAAGCAGGAGCACTTGCAGTAACCATCTTTGCGAGTTCTCGTTTGAAGGACCCGAACTTTGGATAGGATTTTCCTGAGACATCACGTCGCGACGTTAATAGTGAGACTCTTTTACACTGTTGTACATGTTCCGATAAATCTCGTGTAATGACTCTTCAAATAAGGCTCGGTGTGATCGCCCGGCGAACTGAGACTTTTGATTGGACCAGAAGGAGTCACGTGATAGAGGCACAGTCACACTGGAAAAGAGAGATGAAAATTGCTGACTAAGGGAATGTCTTAGGTATCTCCTACAAGTTGAGTGTTGAACGCATCAACGTTTTCTGTTAAAGGACCGATCATTTATCACCTGAGAGGGAGGGGAGGGGGGAAGGTTTTGGTGGTGTCGCAATAAAATTTATCAAAGCCTTGTACACAAAACGAAAGTGAGAGCTAGCCACTGGATATCTCAAGAGGAAATTTCTTTGATCGTGTGCCTATTGAAAACGCCTTTTGACAGAGGACGCACCTTAAATAACAAGTAAATATGAAAATCACCTTTCGACAGGAAATCAACGATTTTCCATACACCTTGCGTGTCAATAACCTCGAAGGCTGAAATTTGACAAAAACAGAAATTTTCAGCCGTTGTTAGTGAGAAACCTCATGTCTACGGGTAGCAATTTGAAGAGGAAACGCTCAGAAAAGCAGAACTTGGAAGCCCTTTGAAAACTGTCTGCGTCGAAGGGAGTTGTTTCCAGGATTTTATTATTATTATTTTTTTTTGGTAGTTTTGGGGTTGAGTGATGTCTGCTGCCGGTAACCGTTGGGTTTGATGGAAAACTTTTGTTGCGTTTTAGAGGTAGCACCACTTTAAAATATATGCGGCGATTGGAAATGACGCTAAACCTGTATCAAAGTTATCCAGCGGGGTAAACTAACTCACACAAGCACGCAGTTAATTTTTTTTTAGTGACAGCATTTGTGGTGTAGTTACCTTCGGTCCAGTCTTGTCCCTAAAGTGGGATGTTCGGGATCCTCAAATGATCTGTCCAGAGATTCCAACCGGGCGCCATTTATTTCAGATCTGTATTGTGAAAAAAATAAAGCCGGTCTTAATTTTTTTAACGAATCTCCAATTGAGTACACCCAAGTATCAACTATAGGATCTGGTCGTACCCAACTCATAGAAGACAAACGGCACAAATCAAAAAAAAAAAAAAAAATTAAAAAATGCAGGTAAATCAAGAAATCAAATCTCACCTCAGTTCTTGTAACGAGAGCAAACTGTCATCGTCGTCAGAATCTGACAGTTCCACAAACGTTTGGGAAGTGTAAGTCTAAAGAAAGAGAGTACAAAGGAATGATTGTTTACCACAAATCAACAAACTTAATTTACTGTGTTTCCCTTCCCCTAACCTAGGAATCAATAAGCCAGGAGAAGTTTTTAAAATTCAGGTTAACGGTTAACGTAATTAAGTCGCGTCATTTTTTGCGAAGCTTAATTTTTAACTTTATCACCTCCACCCCGAATCCAAGATAAGCTTCAAAACTTAGCTTTCAATAAGAGCTGAAATCCGCCGTTACAATAAAAATAACTTCTGGCGATAATTCTACGACCGTTGTTTGAGTTAAGGACTTTTACACTTGGTGATAAAAAGACAAACGGTACTGAGGTCTCAAAAATGTTGTTTTTCCGGTTTCAGTGAATCGTGTTATGTTTCCTCATTTCGGAAATTACTAACTCTTCCAGGCTAACTTCGTTTTATGACTAGTAAGTACTTTTCTCCCGATTCGCAGTAATTAAATCGCACTAATTTTCAATATCAGCTAGTTTCAGGAGGGGAGGGGTGGGTGAGGTTAGCAGTTAAAGGTTATCAAAGAGCAGTGTTTACTTACAGGAACCGGAGAACGCCGTCTCATCGATTGCTCTACCCGGTCGTGAATCTCTTGACTAGACGATGACAAATAAGAGCCGTATCCATTAGGGTCCCGTGGAAATATTCTTCTGCTTCTCGGAATGGGCTCACTATAGGCCCTTGATACATTCAAAGGATCGTCATCAAATGCAGGAGCACGAACCCTCGGTGGTTCTGAAGCAAAAGACGTGTATACCGGTGTAGATGTGGTCCGCCTGTGTGGAACGCGACCAAACCGATGTTTCAGGAAGTCTCTGCCATAGACTTTCAGGTACGCTTGGCAGACAATGCATTCTTTATGAGGAACTCTACAATTTGGACACGGAGCTGTACATTTCAAGAACAAAAAAAGTTTTGAAACTTTTGGGAAAAAAAAGTAAAAAAGAAAATACCAATTTGCAAATCTTTTTCCCGCTTTATTAAGCAACCAAGAAAATACTCCGAAAGTAACTAAATTCTTCGCGAGTCATGCGGGAGGGGGGAGCGCGAGATTTTTTTTTCGCACTTGCCTCCGTTCACCTTAAAATGAAAAATAATTGCACCTGTTCCGCATGGCTATTAAATATTAGCAGAAGTGTTCTGACTTTTCCCCTGCTTACTAGCATTTATCTGAAATCCGAGAAAAAAAAAATTGGTCTGTAACTTAAAACAGTAGTGTACAGACCTTGAACTCGGTTGGTAAGAGGTATATTGTCTTCCAACAAAGATTGTGATATTCTTACCAGGGCCTCCCTCCAAAGGAATGACTTTACTCTTCCGTTTAGACTGTCCCGGGATTAAAAACTTGCGACGAGAAATGATCTTGTCATCAGCCTTGCCAGCCTTGAATGGAGGTCTGAGGGAAGGTGTGGCTGACTTTGGTCTGTGTGTCGGAGACAGAGACCTTGATCGTAAGGTTACTCTCCCATTATTTTCAGGGCGCCTTGGACATTCACAAATGCAGTGGTACTCTCTGGTATGTATACTGTGGTTATGGTGTGTTGGAGCTGGTGTTAAAATGAGCTCTTCTTCTGTTTCTGAGCTGCTTTCAGCCTGTTAAATGCACATTCAATTGCTTTCAGTTTGTTAACCCATTTGATTCTAACATCTGTCACACTGTTCTCTAGTAAATGCAATCTGAGAAGCCTCCTAGTAAACATTAAGGTTAAAACAAGTTCATTCCCTCTAGTTGCACAACCTGCAATTTGTAAAATAAGCAGTTTCTTGTGATAATTCAAATCTGTTGAACATACACAGGATTTTGGAATATTACTTGGTGGGAAATGGGAAATGTCAGTTAATAGAACCATGATCTGCATGTCCAGTGAAAAAAAAAAAAAACAGATGTCATGCTGAACCAAAGTCAGAAACAGGTTAATTGAGGAATTAGATGCAATAGGCCTTTAAAATTCCTGGAAGGATTTTGTGGATGCATTTGTTGCATCAGTTTTTGTTTGAAGCTTTCAAGGATGTCTTCTGATCCTTTGAACAGATGTATGATGGGAGGAATAATTTTAAATAAGGTATTTTTCAGGTGTGTTTAATTTTTATTTTTACTTTAAGTTAAAAGGCCTGGAAGTTCACTTTCTGAGGCAAGGGAGCAAAACAATTTGACTATGAGTGTCAATAACTAATATAAAAGACTGTCACAATTACTGGATTGAGGGAATCATTTTTGTTTTGATGGCAAGATCAAAAACCTTACAAGAGAACCTGGAAATGGGCAGAGTTGCCACTTGACCAATTACAGTACCTCAGAACTAGAAGAAGATCCGTCATCATCATCATTGCCGACACTGGTAAGTTCCCTATATGTTCCAGGAACAGTTGTCTCTTGAATCAAAGAGTTTGACGAGAACTCCAACTTAGGATCAATACCCTAAATAAAGAAAAAAAAACTAACATTATAGCCTAGCATTAATCTTTACTTAGGAATTAATGTTGGTTAAAACTATGGAGTTAAAGGAAAACTCTATCTTAAGATCAGTACCTTGCAAATTCCAAATACAAAATCAATATCCACAGTAGACAGACTCATGCTTAGTGTATAAATTCAGAAATGTTGATCAAAATTTGAAAATCAATAGGCCATTTTACAGTTGTGTACTTAGTTGCCAAGCCTTTGATTCAGAGTGAGGCTAAAGGTGACCTTGTTGTGTCATAGAGACCTGTTAGCATGATAACAAAGCGATTTACATTTGAAAGGCAGCAAGGTTTGTAGCATAACAAGGTCACCCCTAGCCTCACTCCCGTTCAAAGGCTTGGCAACTAAGCACACAACTGTAAAATGGACTATAAAATGGATACAGAACTGAAACTTGCTGTGAACATTGATATGTTTAAAAGAAAACTCAAATCTTTGCTTATTTCTGAATTTTTGAAATCTGATTAATACTTCTGATTAGAATATCCATTTCTTTTTTTTAACCAATCATGTACATATGTTTTTATATATATTCTTAGTCTAAGATTATAAATTATTATATTAGGTGTTGTGATTAATTAATTTTATTTCAATGTATGGTCAGTAATTTATACATTGTTCCTGAAAAGCCCCATTGGGGAGGCGACAATAAAGTATGTAAGTATGTATTTGTCTATGAATGGTACTATCTTGGTGCATAACTTGCACAGCATTCCTGCGTACCAAAGTAGTTGAACTTACAGTAAAGTGTACTGTTCTTCCCAGTAACAGCTCCCTTTCCACACCATCTTTGCCTGTCAGGGTAGGTGTGGGATACAGAAATTCCCTGGCTGATTGCTCATAGCGAGCCAGAACCTTCCCTCCTTCCACAACAACAAAATAATGTTAATTAAAATAGAGGAGAAAGGTAATTATAAAATGTTCTCAGTCCTCCTGAAACATATATTACAAAACTCAAAATTTAATTTTTAAATAAGAAAGTGGTAATCCTCCTCCTCTTTCTCACTTACTGTGCACCAAGCAACAATTATTACACCTCATAGTTTTGTTTATTTGTATTTATTTGTTCAGTTAAAAATCCCAGATTATTTAGAACATTAAATGACCACAGGTGTACAGGAATTATAAAGAGCTTCAGCTAGTTTCTATGATTTTGCTTTGAGATCCAGTGTAGGGAAAACAAAACATGCCAAGCTGTGTTCATTTAAAACACAAAGAGCCCTCAAGATAGTTTAATGTAGCAGGTGGATGAATTAATATTTTCAAGCAGTAACTGCAAGCGAAACCTTTATAAATAGAAAAAAATTATGATCATGTTTCGGTTTCTGCTCAGTTCTGCTACTCACCCCTATACACATCAGAGTATTGGACAAGTTCAAACAACACATGTTCGTCTAAAAACAAAAAACAAAATACAAATAAGAAACCAATATTTTCGTTCAAGAGAGTTTTCCTTGAACGAAATATTTGTTTTTACCTTCCAAAATCCCCATCACATGGGTAGGTTCCCTTGCATTTACAAAAGTCTACAAAAAAAAAAGACGAAACTCGATCAAAAATACAAGCAGAATCAAGGACGCATGTGAAGAGCCAATAAGTTAATTGAGGAAGCGTTAAATTTTTTCAGAGAGATGATAAATTATTTACATAGAAACATCTGAGAACTCGCGTCCTTAATTAATCTACGTGTATTTCATTAGTAAAGTTTCTGAAAATCTCTTACCCTCTCAAAGTACACCCTTTCATTCAGTGCGAGAGGGAACGTCGCAAACACCGACTTAGTCCTCTTCGTTTGTCCCAAAATACAAACCGACAGAAAAAGCATATTCCTGTCGTTCAAATGCCGTGTTCCTGGGCATGTTATCTGTAGAATAATAACAACATCACATCGTCGTGTTGTATGTGGAGCAGTTGAGGATCTCGTAAGAATTTGCCATTTTGCGTGTTCTCGTATTTCACATTTTCCGCGACGTTTCAGCCGATGAAGGTCTTACCTGATAGATATCTAATGCTACACTGCAAGTTAAAGCTTTTCGTGGCATGGCGATGGAATTAAAGGGTGCAATAACGGAAAAAGATCGAAGTCGCTTTACCGAAGCTTTACCGTACTTTGCTGCTAAGGACGCTATCAACTATCTAGTTACCAGGCCTTCATTTATCGATGAATGACTCCGCTGACCACATTGAATCGAGCCTTGCAGTCCCGGTCCCAGTCTCCACGAGAGACTGTCGCACACAATACAAGCGCGTATTAGTGACTCGAATATTCTCGCTGAACCCTCGCATATTTTCTTAAATTTTAAGATTTTCCTGCTGGAAACACAACCCTCAATTTTAAAGTATTGTATGATTCATCTGCTTTTAGACTCACCAGAGTTGCAACTGTTCATCATCTTCTCCACTCCTCTCAACGTGTTGTGTAACCCCCCCCCCCCGTGAGCCCCTTAGCGTAGGGCTTAAATTGTTCATTTCTGACGCTCCTCGGCTCCCTTAGAGAAGCGTCGAGGAACTTTGATGGTTCTTCCTGACCTAGATTTCTTCGGAGGCGAGGCAGCCTCTGCGGCATCTTCTTGTTCTTCGGTCAGTTTGCGTTTCCTTTTTCGTTCCATACGTACCGCACAAGGCTTGCACGCCTGTGAAAACCATTAGGCATAAATTTTAGAAAATACGGCATAAACGTATCCTAATAAAAACTGTCAAGAATTGGGTTTTTTTATGTGATTAAAATATTGAGTTAGTTCTTGTTTAAACCAGTGTCACAATGAGCCAAGAAGTTTCTTATCCCCCAACGTTATGTTTAAACAAGAGAAAATCAACCCCCACAATACCACTTGAACTCAATACTCAATGCCCCTACCCTATCCTCTATTAAACATTTATCTGCTGTCTCTGACCTCGATATGATCTTCTCTTTTCTTGTAATGATACCAATGTGCCACGCATTCTGCTTGCGTCTGAAACGTATGAGAACAACATGTCATAACAAAAATCATCACGGATCCACTGATGCTTAATTATGAGTTGACTGTTTGCAAACAAACTGTGATTCGACTGGATTTCTATTGCAAGCCCAGGGTCATTTTGTCCCCTTATCAGCAGTATGGTCGCTAAGTCATACCGCTCTCAAGAGGCCAAAATTATGACCCTGAGCTCGACCTTAGTCGTTATACGGTATTATCGTACTGATATATCCTGTTACCTTGTTTGGTACCGATTCAGCCGCTTTAAAAAAGTCTTGCTTCTTTCTTTTTAACCTGTTATACAAGAAACCATAAGTCGCAGGTAAGCTTTATAAGGTTATACTGAAATGAAGTACAAAGAGTCGCGATAAAATTGTTTCTTGATTAACACATCTAAAAAAGTTAATTTGTGATTTTCATTGTCGTTTTACTAAACTGATAGATACTGTATTATATTTCCTAGAATTTCGGCTGAAAGTAGGGGGGTGGGGGAAAAGGTACCCCCCCTTCTCCATTTGAAGGGGAGCGCTTTCTTATGCACTGATTTCGCAGGATGGGTGCTTCATAGAGCGAGGGCGCTTATTCGAGGAAATACGGTATGTCTGTTACAAATGGAACAAACTCTCCCTTAGCAAAAATTGGCTCAAGGTAGAACTAATATTTGCTTGAAACAATTATTTGGCAACTAGTCCCTCTAAAAATCACGAGGAACGGCTGAAGAAAACGAGGAACATGTCACTGAAAAACAACGTACTCGCACACTGCACCTTTACCTTATCTTTGCCTAGGTTGGAGCGTATTGCACCTTATCATTGATAAATACCTTATTACAGATGTTGGAAAGACCATAAAATGTTCTTGATATGATCTATTTTGCCGTATCGTAAGAAATGTTCGCAACTTGCATGAAGGACGTAATTTTAAAAGAACTATGTTTCGCGCCCGCATATGACCATTTCGCAGTTTGAAACGCAACGGCCAGAAATTTGAATAAGCTTACGTCATTTTCTTATCATTATTATTATTATTATTACTTTGCAACATCGATTTGTAGTGATTCTAAAACAACAGGCCTGTGTGAAAACTCCCGTTCATACTCACGCAGAGCAAAGTTGTTTCTCCTCTTCGGGGCTCCATGATTCTTTTTCTCTCTTAGTTCTCTCTGTTTCCTCTTCAAACGGATTTGTAATGAGCTCTGTTTCACATAAATCAAAGAAGCTCATTAAAACGATTTTTGTCCATGGAGCGTAAGACGTGCGAGAAACAAGTGTTTTTAACTGGAACTTACCCTCTCTCAGCTGTTCTCTTTCTCGAGCCGCAGGGTCCGTGATGACGTCTGGGATAATGGCTTGGTTCTTGGCTACATCCTTTGTTTCAGAGAGAGAGAGAGAGGTTGAGGAATATTTGCCACCTTATTTTACGTTTGCCAATCATCATGTCGTAAAAGGCTTAATATAATTAACAGACTGGAAATCTTCGCCGCGACTTTTGATAAGAAAATATATGTATGAATTTAGCAAACGAACGCAAGAAGTGGGTGAACGGACAAAAGAACAGGCAATTTTCGATCTATCAAAATTCAAACTTGGCTCAGATCGAGGTAGAGAGATGAATAATTAACATCTTTTGATTTAATCTTCCAAGCCTCGGAGCCATGTTAGAACTTTTAGGTATCCAACATGGCCTACTGGAGGCCAATGAAAGGGTGGGAGGGGAGGGAAGGTTGGTCGATTTTCAAACAGAACGCTAAAAATGATCTGAAATCGTACAAATTGTGTAATTCCGGGAAGGCAGCGGTGCAAAAAGGCATCATCTATTACTCATAAATGAATTACTTTTATTGGGAAAAGGAGTGACATACATTCCGTAAATCCCCTATTGATACCTTTGAAACTGTCCAGTGATCATTCCTGAGTAACAAATGAGCCAAAAAGAGTCAAATTTAATTGTTATGCATAGCACATACCTTCCAAGTCATAAAAGCTCTGTAGGGACCTCTCCCTCTGATTCTCGAGTAGTTTCTCTGAAGTCTCCAAATTCCTTCCTCTTCCTTGGGAGGCGGCTCAGGAAGAAGCATACCATCCAAAGGATCCACATATGAACCATTGCTGTTTCTTTGAAAAGGCAAAATATGATTTTTTTCTTAAACAAACAAGTGAGCTAAGTGTCTGACTTTCGGTTAAGGCGGCAGTAGCAACCGACCGGCCGACCGACCAAGTAACTGACTGCCATAAAAAAAAAAAAAATTAATGACTCCATGACTGAGCGAGTGGCAGACTGACTGAGTGATTGGTTAAAAAGTGATCGACTTACGGACTGAATAAGTGTGGGACTCACTAACTAACTCACTCACTGTCTCTCTGACTCACATACAGATGATCGATTGACTTCCTGACAGACTGATGTTGACTTGCTCACCAAATGATTGACTGATTGATAGACTAACTGATTAACACTTAGCTTACCAGCGAACTGATAACTGAATGGGTAAGAGTGAATGAATGATGGAAGAATGGATGAATGATTCGATGGATGGCAAAATACTGTAGTCCTTTAACAAATGAATTTTTGGTGCGTACGGGAACATAAGTTGGGCCGCATTTGACTTTTTTCGCAAAACCAAATTGTCCTTACAATGTCTTTAATATTTCTCAAGCGATTAAAACCGTCAACAGTGCTAATATTATCCCTTTACAAATTTATGTTGATATTGTTGTTGTTGGGGTTCTTTTTTTTCTTTACTGTCCACATACAGCCGTAAAATATGCTTTTAACTGTTCAAGTTGTAATCGCCTCTGGAGAAATGAAAAATTTCGGTGGATCACATTTAAGTTTTTGCGCTTTCGTTCTTTCACTAAGAAGAGTCCCACGCACCTAACATGCAATGAACACTGTTAACTCATCTAAAGTGATACTTCAAAAAGAAAAATCAGACATTTTTCTTATTAGCCAGTTTCATTTCGTTTTCCCAGGTTTTCAGTTCAAAAGTAGTTGTTTCAATGGAACCTTAACACGAAAACAAAAGAACTTTGAACTGTACCTTTTCCTCTTATTTGCCAGATGTGGTTCAGGATTTTCTGTAGATGGGCCAGCTCTATCCATGTCCATCTCTTTCTTGTACTTAGCTTTTATAGCGAATTAATAAACTGCAATCGAAATATAGAACACAATCGAGTGCGCAGCAATAGTTGCAAAGACTTGACTGTTTTTTTGCAGATTGCCGAAATAACAGATATGTCACAATGAGAGAAACGTCATTCTAAAGTTTAACTGGACATGCGCGCGCGCGCGCACGTTTAACATTTGGGAGGTTAATGTATTCAAGAAGCCTTGGGAATTAAAAACGAAAATAAGAGCTGTGCTAGAGCTAATTTAGGGCCATAACTAAAAGTCGTTTCTCCAATCAGCTTCAACATAAATGATTACAGTTGTTTTACATCTGTACGTTCAACTCAGGTTGCAAGCGGCCAATNACAACGGTAAACACTACAAACAGTTACACGGCACTGCCATGGGGTCTCCAGTTTCTGTTGTTATAGCAGAAATTGTGATGCAGAACATCGAGGAACGCGCCCTTTCGACTTGCCGACAAACGATACCGCTTTGGTTACGTTACGTTGACGACACATTCACCGCCGTTCGACACGACGAAATTGACGCATTCCACAACCACCTTAACGAACAAAACACTGACATACAGTTTACCAGAGAAGTCGAAGAAAATGGCAAACTTCCTTTTCTAGACTGCCTGGTAAGCCACAACGACAACTCATTACGAACGACAGTTTACAGGAAACCGACACACACCGACAGATTACTAGACGAGTCATCCTACAACCCTACATCACACAAAGCCACAACTATCAGAACTCTAACACGACGCGCACAACTAGTATGTGACTCGACAGACAGCTTATCCGACGAGAACAAATACCTTCACCGTGTTTTTACGAAGAACAACTACAACAACGACTTCATCCGACGAAACACTCACCGACCCACTACCACTACCGAAACAAACGACACCGCAACCCCTACGACTACAGCAACCATACCGTACATAAAAGGCATGTCTGAAAACATCTCGCGCATCTTACTACCCTTCAATATCCGCGTCGCCCACAAACCCATCACCACACTACGTCAGTTA